TTAACCACTCTGTGCCTCAGTTTTCTTATCTATAAAATGAAGGCAAATCAGAACGTGATGTTGATATTTTAAAAACCAATTTAACTTTTAAAATACTTACTGATTGCCATCTATGTGCCTGGGTACTTGGGGTACAACAGTGAATAAAATAGACAGAAAGCTCTGTCCTCACAGGGCTTAGATTGTTGCTAAAATGCTTACAATAGTGTCTTGTGCATGAAGCATGCAGTGAGTTATTATCATTGTTATTATTACCATTGTTAATACTAGGATAGAAATAACATGCGGACTGGTAAGTACACACAGTCCTTAATCAATTGTCCAGAAATTCAAGTCACTTTTCCACAGCCTGCCAACTAAGGCTCCTAGGCGGAAGGTCTGCAGACCATTGGAAGGCCACTCCAAGTCCTGGGTTAGACAGAGGGGAGGAGAAGGAGAGGTTTTCTGTGCCTCTGAATGCTTAGAATTCACACTAGCAGTTGAGTATCATGGGATGTCCTTTCCCACTTCCCAAAACCCTAAGGAAGAAAGGATGGAAACAAAAACTTCAGCCCAGAGCACAGACACAGAACCAATCCTGAGAGATGCTACTTCTGCCATTAGCACCTCCAGGGAGGATCTTAAGAGGGGGCAATGCATGGTACATGAACCTAAAAGGTAGTGTTGGGAGGGGTGGAGGTCTTGGAACTACAAGATCTGGATACAGATTTGTCCAGATTCTACATTTCATCCCAGGCCTGGTAGCCATTAGAGCATCACAGGAAGTTGTTGTTCACAGAAGATGACTGTCTCCAGCAGTCTGCAGTTTGCATGCTGCTCTCTTTGCTTTGTGCTGCTTCTGCCAGCATCTTGTCTTTTCTTCACAGTTTTCAAGTCTCTGCCTCTTCCCAGTGCTGTGCTTCCAGCTTGCTCTTTTTCCTCCCCTAGTATTAGGGGCTCAACCTAAGGGCCCTTTATAATAGAGCGACATCCAAAGCCCTAAGGCTGGTCTCTAAGTTGCTGAGGCTGGCCTGGAACTTGCAATCCTCCTGCCTCAGCCTCTTGAGTTGCTGGGATTACAGGTGTACATCCCATACCCAGCTCCTTAACTGTTTCTTAATAAATCATAATTTCAGAGAATCTTATTAAAATGATATCATAAGATAATTCAAAATCCTTTAGAGGAAATGCACAGATAAGCAAAGCATTAAGCCACATGGTCTTTTCAGGTTGGATTTTACTGTATCAGCAAGACTAAACATTTATGGTGAGCTTTTATTCTCCACCATGTACCCTAGCATGAAGGAGTCTCACTGCCTCTGAGCCCCTTGGTAGTCAAAGCCAGATGGATGAGGTCACTGTGCCAATTCAATTCACCCAGACTTTGACCCACCCTTTAAGTATATGGGAGTCTCCCAAATGAGGCTCAGTATCCCTCAGAATTGCAATTCAATTGAATTCCTAGGGAATTCGATTGTGTCCCTCTGCCTCACAATCCTGCAAACCTTAGTTGTACTACAAGATATTAGTCCCTAATCTCATCTGTCCCCCAACAGGACTCTCATCCTTCAAATACTCACCTCCCTCTCTACAGGTCCAAATTTTCACTCTTCTTCTTCTCAACCTCCTGTGGATGCCCCCTGAAACTTCTTTCCAGGGTTAGCAAACTTCATTTGCCTCCTCACTAGATGTTCCTTCCACCTCTTGGCCACACCCTCAAGCTGAGTTGTGAGGTGTGGTCAGTGTCCTTGAGAACCCCCTGATCCCATGCAGCTGGAAGCAGGTAGCTCTCTCCTGGGTTTTACCATCTACCAACTCCAGTCACTCTCCCTTTTCACCAAAGCCGCTGGCCCACTATCTTCATCCCATGATTAGAATTATAACCCTATAAACTTCAGTGCCCATAAGAGGAGCTGGCCAGCTCTCCAACCACCCAATACTTGGATCCAGTCGTCAATTAGAGAAGAGCAGTTTTTAAAAATTACAAATGTGGTTATGAGATGATCTTATCGCATGGTTGGCCCTCTACCATGAGACTGTAAGCTCCAAGAGTGTACGGAGTTCTGAGCTCCTTTTCTGACTGCTATATTCCTAACCTCATCACAGGGCCTGACACAGAATGAAAACTTAAATAGATATTTGTTAAATGAATAGAGATTTGTTAAATGAAAATGGCAACAAAAAATTGAGAAATTCATTATATCTACAGGACTTGGGCAAATTTGCGTTCAGTAATGTGGCAGAGGTGGGTGCTGCACCACCTTCATATTAGCTGTCATTGCGACAGCTAACTAGTGGCCAAAAAGGGCCCAAGGACCATTTGCTGGCTGAACAGGATCACTGCTGGACTAAGGAAAAGAATTTCCAGTGAAGCTATCCTGATGGTGTTTATAGTCATTTGTTTCTTTGTATCTTTATGTCAGTTGTCCTGGATGGTAAAGAAATTGCTTTCTTGAGGACTTAGACAAAATTGATCCTATTAAGTGTCCCTGCTGAAGTCTTCCCTATTACATGCCAGATATTCCCTGGGCACAACATCAGCCATGCCTCATTAGCTATAAGAAAAGTAGGAGAGGTAATTATTCATCAAGAAAGATTAATTCAAAAAATACTCTTTGAGTTTCTTCTGCTGAGGAATTTTGATACCATAAAGATAATAATGAGATCACCAAACTCATTATAATAATTATAATCCTTGGATGTAAGTTATTATTCACACTTGTAGTTCATTAGTGCAGTACTTTTATTAATTAGGATATACTTTTTAAAATTATGATTTAATTTTATCATTTTTTAAATTGTGAGTATAGTATAAGGCACTGATAAAAGATATTGTGAATCATGTTCATAGAAGCAAACAGAGGTTCCCGAGAATCCAAGCCTGATTTCACAACAGTTAGCAAATATTGGGGAATATTTCTATCATATAGAAATGCATGAGTTGACTGCTAAAGCTTTCTATGTAACCTTCAGGAATGCCACAGAGATCTCCTAGAATTGATATTTATCCACTAAAATAAATACACAATAACACTTTAGCTAACAACTAGGACCAACAAATAGGTATTCTAATCAAGTAGCCTTCAGGAAACAACCTATTTTTATTATAGAACAGATGCAGGTAAGAATAGCTCCACAAAGGACCTGTAATAAAATTACTAGAACAATCTCTCTCATGCTTATAACCAGACATCTAAATTTTGTTGTAAAAATAGCCTCAATGAATATCTCTGAAAGTACAAAGGGATTTAAAGCAAAATAAAGTAATAATAACAGCTACCATTTATTGAGTACTTATTATGTGTCAGGCTCCATGCTCAGCTCTTCACATGCATAATCTTTCCCTAATATAGAACATTTCAAAAGTCCATGAAAAATGACAGGCATCTAAGAGAGAAAATTTGATTTCAAAATACAGACATTGCACTGGCTCTGAAAAACAGTGGGAATAAGGGAGATATTATTAGGGTAATAAGCTTTAAGGACACAATCATAAAAATGTAAATGAAGGAGTTAAATTAATTTCTCCCCTTGGATCAAAACTGCAGTCTCTGTAGGTTGAGAGCACAGAACCCTTAAGGAGCTCTTGGGAAATGTCAGGCCAACTTAACAATTTTATCCACTGACTCTCCAGTAACAGATTTCTATGTCGTTGGTGGTGTTCCCAGCCTGGTTTAGAGGTCCAGGGAAACCTGGGGAGGTGATTGAAATGTTATTATAGCAATAATGATTTAACATTAACAAACAGATGTTTAGAAAGTTAAAACAATGAAAAGCCAAAAATAAAACAGAAATCTCTAGAGCTTTTTAAAGATCCTAGCAGACAAAAATAAATACAATTTTTAAAAGTATTTATGAAGCAAAAATCTTAAAATCTTGAACACAAAATAGTCCCATGGTTATTCATGCACTAAATGCATACAATCCACTCATACAATATTAACCATGAAATAATCATAATGATATTTAAAAGAAAAGAGCAAAAAGAAACTATTTTCATCCCAATAAAGACCAATTATTGTCACAATTAAAGACTGATGAGACATTAAATAAATTGATACAAGATATGAAAAGTAGAAACAAAACACATTTCACCGTTTGAAGTACTAAAAGGAAATATGAGTCATGAAGAAAAATTAAAATAAGCACATCTATTAATTATCATTGCTAACTGAAATGAAAAAAATATTAATAATGATTAGAAAAAATATCACAGCCATGAAAGATGTTGCCTAGGGTTATGTATTATGATGATCAGAAATAGAAGTACAAGAGTTTGATTAATGCAGGATAGTTTGGGTGCTGTTTAAACTATTTGTACATCAGGGGTATGATGGACGTGGCTGTCTGCATTTGTTTCCACCACTCTGAACCAAAGCACCCATTAATTTGCTCTGTACAATAACGTGAGCACCAGCCCTGTGAATGTCTATTCAGTCCTGTTTGGGTTAAGTTAGAAAAAAACCTGCTGCAAAAATAGTTAAAAGCTCACAAAGATTTAGGAAAACTAATTGAAAAGATTGGCATTGGTGTTTCTCTACAATTGCTCTAGGAACAAAGACTGTCCCTGTCAATGACAGAAAGAGGCAGCGAGTATCATCTGCTCACCTTATAGTTCACCTTTTCAGGGCACACAGCACAGAGGTATCTGTTAGTTTATTAATAAACACTTAGTAAGGTAAGGGCCAGGCTTTTTTCTTTAAAAGGCCACATAGTACTTTAGGTTTTATGGGCCAACAAGCAAAATCAAGAATAATACATAGATACCTGTGTAACAAGAGAGAAAACATATTCCTGCAAAAAAAAAAAAATTGGCAGAATTCAAAATATAGTGACAATAATAATGGAGTATAATTTTCAAAATACAGATATAGTAATGAGAAGAATGGAATTCTTTTTCAGGAGGATAATAATTCATTTAACTTGGAGTTCAAAATTAGAGTTTCCTATCTTCAAATTAATTACAGATATTTATCTGCAAAAACAATTCTTAGCCATGAGGCCAGATTTGGCCTGCAGACCATAGTTGGAGAGACTTTATTGGTGCCAAGGAAGAATTAAAAAGCAGAAGAAACAAAGTCTAGCAACAAGAGACATTGTAATTTACTTTTTCTCCTCGAATACATTTTTGTGCTTCTTTATTTCACGTTTTGTTTTACTTGAGTTTCTCCTTGGTTGGCCAAAAGCATCCATTTGCCTGGAGGATGGATTAGAGTTATTTAATTTTAATTTATGAAGAGAGGAAAAAAGAATCTATATTTAATTATTCACTTCCAAAACACATTTTTTTTAGCTATGAGTAAACCAAAGTATCAAAATTAAACATAACTAAGAAAGCTAAAATTTTAAATTTTTGAAATTCCCATTTACATATCCAGAGCCAGGTTTGGTTTCACTAAGCCAAAGGAAGAGAGTTCAAGATATGCCTTTGTTGTTATTGTTGCTGGTGCCGCTGCTTTGAAAAACTATACTTTGCTTATTTTTTTAACTGATACACTAAAACCTAAGAGTTGTAGTGTAAATAGAATGCCATGTAATGTTCAAGATGTATATGCATTTCACAATATTTAAGTTAGTCTAAACATAGTTATCTCCGCAAACATTTTTTATTTCTTGGTAGTGAAATTTTTCAAAATTTTTTCTTTTATGCTTCTGAACTCTACAGTACACAGTTGTTATCCATTTTCTCCATACTGTGCAATTGAACCCCAGAGATCCTGGCTCCTATCTGCCTGTAACTTAGCACGCATTGATCAACCTTTCCACACTCCTCCCCAACCTCCACTGTCTCCAGCCTCTGGTATCTACCATTCCACTCTCAGCTTCTGAGAGATCAACTGTTAGATTCCACCTTTGAGTGAGATCATGTGGCACTTGTCTATCTGTGCCTGACTTTTTTCACTTAACATAATGATCCCTAGTTACATCCATGTTGTCAAAAATGGCAGGATTTTATTATTTTAATGGCTGAATAGTTATCCACTATGTATATGTCATCAAATGATGGACACTCAGGTTGCTTTCATTTCTTGGCTACTGTGAATTAATGCTACAATGAACATAAGAGTGCACATGTCCCTTCATCACACTGATTTCACTTCCTTTGGATAAATACCCCAAAATGGGAACTCTGGGTCACATGGTAGTTCTATTTTTAATTTTTTGAGGATCCTCCATACTATTTTCCATAATGATTATACCAATTTACATTCCCACCAACAGTGTGTAAGTATTCCCTTTTCTAAACATCCTCACTGGCACTTGTTACTTTAGATTCTGTTTCTATATATATATAAACTATTCTTACTAGGGTGAGGTGACAGACATCACATTGTGGTTTTGATTTGCATTTCCCTGGTGACTTATGATGTTGAGCATTTTTTCTTGTGCCAAGTGGCTATTCGTATGACTTCTTTTGAGAAATGACTATTTAGATCTATTGCCCATGTTTAATTTTTTTCTATTGAGGTTTTGAGTATTTTATATATTCTAGAGATATCAGATACATGCATTGTCAATATTTTCTCCCTTCCTGTAGATTGTCCTGCACTCTGCTGAGTATTTCCTTTGCTGTGCAGAAGTTTTTTAGCTTTATGTAGACCCATTTGTCTATTTTTGCTTTCATTTCTGTGCTTTGGGGCTTTGTCCAAAAATAAAAATAAAAAATTAAATTAAAAAAGCCCTTGCCTAATCTAATATCTTGAAGCCTTCTAGTGGTTTTTATAATTTGGGGTATTAAATTTACATCTTTAATCCATTTTGAACTGATCTTTGTGAGTGGTGAGAGATAAAGGTCTAGTTTCATTCTTCTGCATGTGGATGTCCAATTTTCTCAACACTGCTTATTGAAAAGAGTGTCCTGATAGGGATAGCACTGAATCTAGAAATCCCTTTGGGTAGCATGGACATTTTAACAATATTGAGTCTTCCAATACATGAACACATGTTGTCCTTCCCAATATCTTTCACTAATGTTTTATAATTTTTATTGTAGAGATCTTTAAACTTATTACTGTTAAATGTATTACAGGGTTGTTTTTTTTTTTTGTATATGTGTGTGTGCATGTGACTATTGTAAATGGAATTGCCCTCTTGATTTCTAGTTCCATAACTCACTATTACCATGTAGCAATGTTACTGATTTTTTGTTATGTGGATTTTGTATTCTGCAACTCTGTTGAATTCTTTTACCAATTCTAACAGTACTTTTGGTAGAACTTTTAGATTTTTTTTTATATTTAAGATCATGTCTTCTGCAAACAAGAACAATTTGACTTCTTTTTAAAGCACATTTACTTTCTTTCTTTCTCTTGCCTGATTGCTCTGGCTAGGACTTCCAGCACTATGTTGGATAAGAATAGTGAAAGTGGGCATCCTTGTCTTGTGCCAGATCTTAGACAGCATTCAGCTTTTCTCCATTCAATATATTAGCAGTTGCTTATTATAAATGGTCTTTATTATGTTGAAATACAATCCATGCATGCTTGATTTGTTCAGCATTTTTACCATGAAGGTGTGTTGAATCTTATCAAATGCCTTTTCTGAATCAACTGAGTTAACCATATGGTTTTTGTCCTTCATTTTGTTGATATGGTTTATTGTGTTTATTGATTTGCATTGGTTGAACCATCCTTGCATCCCTGGGATGAATCCCACTTGGTTCTGGCAAATAATTATTTTAATGTTCTGCTGAATTTGGTTTGCTCATGGCAAGGACTTTGCAACCATGTTCATCAAAGATATTGGCCTGTAGTTTTGTTATTGTTGTTGTATCTTTATCTGGCTTTTAGTATTGGACTCATATTGCTGACCTCATAGAAAGGGTTTGAAAGAATTCCTTCCTCCTTTACTATTTGGAGTAACTTAAGGAGAATTGGTATTAGTTCTTGAAATGTTTGGTAGAATTCAGCACTGAAGCCATCTGGTTCTGGGCTTTCCTTTGATGGGAAGTTTTTATTACTAATTCAGTCCTTTTATTTAGTCTGTTCAGGTTTTCTATTTCTTATGATTCAGTCTTGGAAAGGTACAAATCTAGGGATTTGTCTGTTTCTTCTAGATCATCACATTTGTTGGCATATAGTTCTTCATAATAATCTCTAATGGGCATTTGTATTTCTGTGTGTAGATTGTAATATTTCCTTTTGTGTATGTGATTGTATTTCTTTGAGTCTTCTCTGTCCTTTATTTCATCTATATAGAGGTTTTTCTATTTTTAATTTTTTTAAATATAGCTCTTTATCTCCTTGATCTCTTGTATGTTTTTTAGTCTCCATTTTATATATTTCTGCTTAGATCTTTATTATTTTTCTCCTTCTACTAGTTTTGACTTCAACTTGTATCTAGCTCATGGAGATAGAGTGATAGGTTGTTTATCTGGATCTTTTACTTTTTTGATATGGGTATTAATTACTGTATCCTTCCCTCTTAGTACTGCTTTGCTATATTCCATAGATTTTGGTATATTGTATCTCCATTTTCATTTGTTTCAAGAAACTTCCATCTTGATATCTCCTTGATTCTTTGGTTGTTTAAATTCCATATATTTTTAGAGTTCTCAACGTCTTTCTTGTTATTGATTCCGAGCTTTATTGTATTATCTATAAAAAAGATACTCAATATGATTTCAATTTTTTGAAATTTGTTGAGACTTGCTTTGATTTACCCTAAAAAATGTTCCATGTGCTGATGAGAAAAATGTGTTTTCAGCAGCCATTGGATAAGATGTTCTGTTAGGTCCATTTGGTTTAGGGTGCAATTTTACTCTGCAGTTTCTTTGCTGATTTTTCTATCTAGATGATTTCAAAGTGAGGTGTTAAAAAATCCACAACTACGAAGTCCTTCCTTTCGTTTTTGATTTATCAATACTTTCTTTATATGTTTGCTTGGTCTAATATGGAGTGCCTATACTATTCTGACCTTCTTATTGTGACTTTTTCTGTGCCTGTTGTTTCAGAAATTTTAAGCAGACTGCTTATTTCCTTCCAGTATTTTATTTAGTTGTTTTGATTGTTTCAACATCAGATAGCATCCAGATCCAGATTTGTCAGGAGTCTGATGGTGGTATGTTGTCTCTGTTTTGGTAATAGAGGGCCATCCAAGCCCAGATTGGTCCTGAATATCATTAGTGTATTATTCAGAGAGAAAAGCAGAGTTCCTAGAAAGAGTAGTCAGTCCCCACAAACCGCACCCTAGGACTAAGTAGGCCCAGGTGCCTCATCAAGTCCCTGGACTATAGTCAGACACTACAGAATTCCATCCTGGCTCTGGGAAGAGTCATGATAGATGAACCAGCCCCCAAGCTCCTATGTCACATCTGTAGCCACCAAAGTTACCAAGATGTGTCATACCCTGAGCCCACAGCCCACCAAGACTAGCAAAACTCCAGGTTAGGACCAAGACCCACACTTCTAAGGCTGCCTATTAATGAGATGGACTCATTACCCAAGCCCACTGCAACCAACCACAGGTGTTGCTAGCTGGACTATGAGTCTGCTAGCCTGGGGTTGTGTCCCTTGCCCTGACACTGGAGCTATTCCAGAGGCTACCTCAATAGGCAGGTATGGGGGTGGGGACTATTAAGATCTACCCAGTGCTAGGTTTCACCAGTCTAGCATTAAGTTCCAGGAAAAAGTCTCAGGCTTACTACCCTGCCTTCCACCAGTGAAAAGGGTCTTGCACCCTGTTATGCTGCCTAAAGTTGAGGTGGTATTGGCAAAGGCAGACTGATGACCACTTAAGCTATGTTGTGCTATAGTCTCACAACCACAAGTACTTGCTCAAGCTCAGGGATGCACCAAGACCCATGCTACAGCAAGCCACTAAGTAAGCCAAAATATGTGTTTGTCTTAGTGGAGGGCAGGTATGGGCCCAGTGCCAGGTCTGTCCTACAGCCCCATCTGTGAACACTCGTCTGATGATAGTTATGCTGCTCATTTGGAAGACGGGTGGTAGAAACAGTTCTTTGACTACCAACGTTGGTACTAAGCTGGGCCACATAGCCTCAGAGGCCTGCACAGTCTTAGGAGATGGGTAGGTAATCCCTAGGTCTACTGCAAGGCTGCAGTTGAAATGGCGGAAACTCAGGTTTGTCCCACAGGTACACAAGTCCCACAAGTCCCTTTGATGTCAAAGTTGGTCTAAAGCTCTGACTGTGAATTCTCACCTGTGTACAGGCCTTACGTTTCTGTTGGGTGCTTG